TCTACTACTAAATTAAATGCGATAAGATTATTAATATTGTTCTTATTTTATATAATTATTTTAATAAAAATATTAAAAATTTTAGCTTAATATAAAAATTATTTTGTGAAATTATTTATTTCAATGACATTTTAGGAAACAAAAACAACTGAATTTTTAATTATGAGTTTATTCCATATATGATTGTAAATTCAATTAAATTACATATTTTGAATTCACCACAGCAAATATGAAAATTCATGTATAAATGAATTACAAATGTATTTTATATTTTAAATTCATTTATATCAAATGGATTGTTAGAAATTAAAAATTTTAGGATTTGACTATATATAGTTTAGGATTTAAGGTTTAAGATTTTAGGATTTCCTTACCTTTTAGAATTTTTTTTATATTATTTTAGGATTTAAAATTCAAACTTTAAAGTTAACGATGTAAAGTTTAGACTTCGTTTGCATCTGTAAAATAATTTACAGGAAAATATTTTTCACAATTTTCCATTATTTAAGATATTCAGAAAAAGAAGTCAATGGAAAATATTTTCCTAGAAGGAAAATGAAATCATTTTTTAAAGGAAGAATGACTTCCCATTTCCATTTCTAAGAGAGAAAAATATTTTCTAGATACTAACAAATTTATTGTAACCTTATAAATATACATTTTAATTTATTAATTACCAATAGTCACTACCACTAGTCACTAGCTACCATCTACCACCACCGCTAGTCACTAGTGACTATCATAATTTACCTTTTTTTAGCATTTTTCTCGTATTTTAAAAAATAAAATTTTAAATTACAAAATTTTCTATTATTATAAATATTGTTATGGTCTTATGAATTAATGATTTTGATATTTTTAACTAATTGTCAATATTGCAATCAAACAACGTAAAATAAGTTATTTGAAAAAGATTTTTCAAGAAAAACATTTTCCTCAAAAAATATTTTTCAAAAAGTAAATTATTATACAGAAACAAATAGAGTCTTAATATATTCTTTTATTTTTATTTTTATTAGTTGTGTTAGGCAACAACTTTTTAAGTAGTTTTTAACGTTTTAATTGATCAAGACGCTAAATTTTAATTTTTATAGTATTTGGTAATATAGCATTTGAACTAATTTTTAGAAGTTAAAGTAGCGCTTTATAAAAGCTTTTAGCGTTTTATGAAAGCTACTAAAACAGCTAACAACTAAACACTCCTAAAACAACTACTAGCTACCAAAACAATTGTTTTCTTTTACTACGGGTCTATTCGACAAAATTAGCCGTTTGAGTATATGATAATTGTTTCATACACAACAACCAAGTTGTAGGTATTTGGTAAGCTTTTAATCAGCAGCTGATAGCTGATAGAAGTCTCAATCAACGGTTATTTTTATAAGCTATGTTTATGAGCTTTTTCATATCAATTGGTAGTTGATTAATATTAATATTATTTGGGACTTCATTAACCCCATAAAAATTATTAATAAAATTATTTTCCAAATTAAAATTTTTATGATAATTTTGTTTATAATTATTTGAAAATTTTTCTTAAATATTATTTTCAAAATTTAATTAATATTTTTATTTATGTAATACTTAAAATAAAAAATAATGTATCCACCTTAAATTAAAAACATATATATACATTACACATCATAATATATAAAAATAATTATAGCTATAAAAGTCATTTTATATTTTAACTACTAAAATTTTACAAAACACAAACAATAATTAGCTAATTGCTATCAGCTATCAGCTGCCAGCTATCAAAAACCGCTATCAACTACTAACTGGTATGAACTGCTGAATAAATGAGCTTTTAATAGCTTTTAACTTTTAGCTGTTCGGGTTTGTGTTTTACAAAACGCTAAAACTAAACGTTATATGAGAACCTTTTATAAAAACTACCTTAATCTATAAAAATTAGTTCAAATACTATATTACCAAATATTATCAAAAATAATATTTAATATTTTAACTAAAAACTACTTAAAAAGCTATTATCCAACATAATTTAAAACGAAAACTTGCAAAAAAGGACAGAAATTATATATAGTATAGTTTATTTATTTATGTATTTTTAAATACCCTGTAGTTGTTATTGTTTTCGTCAAGCAATAAAAGTCATTTCATTAATATCCACCAAAAAGAATATTCAGTTTATTAATGTTCCCATAAGAGCAATAAAGTCATGAGCTCAACGTCGGCAATACGAGGTGGCAAATTCATGCCTGCTGACATCATCAACCGCACTAAGACTGACGTATCAGCTATACACGGAAATATATTTTATTTATTTACAGGACAAAAGTAGGTTAGTTAGATAGATTATTTTAGTTTATCGCAGCTTTTTATCCGCCGAATGCCACTAGAGATTATACAAGATGAACAATTCTACCCATAATTCATTAAATTGATAAAAATATTTATAATCGAAACATTTTAAATTCGAGACTTCTCACTCTTCACATCAGTGAGACCACCACTTCACTGATTAGATAGACTATGAGGTTTGAATCTGATTATTATTATTATTATCTTTCTTATTAATCAGGTATAAGTGCGTATTTTGGTCGCATAGGCAAATCGTAATATAAAAGTACTATTACTCTCGATCAATACATTCGCCTTCACACTTCACCTGAAAAATTTTATGAAAACCCTTTTTTGTTTTTCACAGTTGAACACTTAATTGGTTAGATAGAGTATTAGGTTCGAATCTGATTATTATTATTATCTTTCTTATTAATCAGATGTAAGTACGTATTCCGGTCGCATAGGTAAATTGTAATATGAAAGTACTCTTATTCCCGATCAATATATTTGCCCTCACACTTCACTTGAAAAATTTTATGAAAACCTTTTTTTTTTATCCATTGAATACTTAATTGTTTTCATTAAATACTTCAATTTGCAAAAATCATTCTATTGAATATTCAAATTTGTAAAATTAGATCGATTAAATAATTATCGAATCATTAAAACTATAAAAATTATTATTCCAAATATTATACTTACTATACATAAAGTGAATACTTTTACATATAAATGCAATAAACACTCAAAAAAAATTATTATTTCTAGTATGGTGAAGGGTATAATGTTATCAAAATTTATAGCTTCATGAAAAAAACATGTCATTTGCAAAATTTATGATATTATAATTTTTTTTAAAAAAAAAAATACATGAACAAATTTATGCATTTGGCAGACTTTTATTGTTTGGAGGAAGTTTTATATTAAAGAGATTTTAGGATATATTAAATTGCAAGATGCAAGTATACTATATTAGGGGTTGATTGAGTTGAATTCTTAATTAATTTTTTCTTTAATTAACAAAATATTTTATATTGTTAATTTTTCTAAACACTCAAAATATTAGAAAATTTAAAAGTATTTTAGGTAGTTTTTTTTTTTTTTTTACAGATGCTTTGTTCAGCTACAACTTTGAGCTAATTTTTACCTTTCTAACCATGTCAAGACTCTATTTCTATTAATCATACTGTCGGTAACATAATATTTATAATAGCTTTTAGAAATTGATGCAATTTTATTTATTAAATATGAAACACTCTAACTTTCAGCACTTCAAAAGATTAATTAATTTTTTTTGATAATCATACTTTTTTTTTGAATTCAACTAATTAAACAAATAATATCATTTTTTTAATGTTTAATTTTTTTACAGAATACTTTTAATTTAAAGCTTTATACCAACTAAAAATTAATAGGTAACAATTAATGACTGACAGCTACTACAACAATTATCGATTAATAAAAATCAAATCCGAAGCCTGAAAATTCTTTGAATCATTGAAGTTGTCTATTTCCATATTTGCAGAAAACAGTTGAATACGTTTCTTTCCTCTTTCCACGGCTTTCAATACGCTTTTACACTTGTTATGTTTCTTGTTTTTTTTCTTTTTTTTTTATTTTTTTGTGTCCATTGGAATTTCATTAGCTTATGGAAGAAGTTAACAAGAAGATCAACCAGAATCTTTTATTTTTATTTTTATTTTCTATTTTAATTATTATTTTTTTTATTGCTTAATCATTCATTGGTACATAATTATATGAGTATGGCCCACAAGCAAAAATGAAATCAAAAATTATTTTCTAAAATTAGTAATTACTTGAAATTAAATCTAATTTTATACTACTTAGATTCCATTAAATTTTCTAAAAGGCAAGCCGGGGAGCCCCACTAGCCACCCCTTACGTCAGACAGTGCATGTGGGATGACGAATCATTGTGCCAAGTCAGCCACTGGACAAAATAGTACTAAACAATTGCAGCAAGAAAAAGCATACTATTCACACAACAATAATTTATTATGCTTTCCTACTTGATAATATTTTATTTCTTCAAGTAGGTAAGTGTGTCGGTGATTATATAATACGCCTAGTTTTATTCCGATCTTTTACCTTGGTTGTTATATCATTCTGATAAATTTTTATATTTTTTTTAAATATAAGGATAAATTAATTAATAATAATTAATTTTGATAAAATTCCAGACAAAAATAGAAAAAATTAATGAAAGTATATAAGAGAGTAGCGGAAGAAAAAGATAGACATAAAACTATGAATTTTTAAAAATATAAAAGTTATGTTGCATATTATGAAAAACTGCAGGGATAAAATAGCAATTTTTCCGATAAAAAATTGTTGTTGATGTTGGTAAATTCCTCCGTGAAGTAAATACAGGTAAATACCTAACCTCCAAATTTGTTGATACCAAATTTCTCAACAAAAATTAGAAGAAAAATGAAAACGAAATAAAAAGAAAAGAAAAGAAAAGAAAAGAAAAGGAAAGAAAAGAACCCTACGGCAGAAATGTTGACAAGATTCCACACCGGCCAATGAAGCATGAGAATCACGAGCCATACAGAAAAAAAAAAAATCTACGTCTACAATAATTGACTGAAATTTAATGAAACTGAAGAGTATGTGGACACCATTAATATGTACTAACGATTGAAGTGCTTCACTAGGCATGATCTTGACAAAAATAATAATATAAGACCAACTGGTTGATTACGATGGAGTAGAAGATGGGCCTATAAATTCAGATGGTATACCTCATTTTTAACAAAAAAACAATAAGCATCAGAGAGGGAGAGAAAGAGTTGCAGATAAGGAGAAATGGAGGTAGTTCAAGTGCTTCACATGAATGGCGGAATGGGAGACACTAGCTATGCTCAAAACTCATTGGTTCAGGTATATTCTTTTCATTTATTAGGACCATATAACTGCCTAGTACAAATAATATAACACTAAACTATACCTTAAAAGTACGACTTTAATCTTAATCATGGACAAGAGAATCAGTAACATGCATAAGGGGTGACATTGAAAGAAACACTAAGAAAGAAAACTGAATTTAATAACAAATCGCATCATCATTTGAATGGACATGTAATTGAAGATATCAGCTGAAATTGTTGTTTGTGAATATGTTTATGCAGAAAAAAGTGATATCCATGACAAAGCCTATAACAGAAGAAGCCATTACCAATCTCTACATTAGTTCCTTGCCAAAGACTCTAGCCATAGCAGACTTGGGGTGTTCTTCAGGACCAAACACTTTGTTTGTGGTTTCTGAACTCATCAAAGTAGTGGACAATATCTGTGGAAAGCTAGGGCATCAATCACCAGAATATCAAATCTTCTTGAATGACCTTCCAGGAAATGACTTCAATAACATTTTCAGGTCCTTACCAAGCTTTCAAGAAAAAAAGACAAAACAAATGAAAGCTGCAGGAGCTAGGCAATGCTTCTTTACTGGAGTTCCTGGTTCTTTCTACGGCAGGCTTTTCTCTAGAAATAGCCTCCATTTTGTCCATTCTTCTTATAGCCTCCAGTGGCTGTCCCAGGTAAGTAACCAATAAAAACCTTTCTATTTCTGTCAGTGCCTTTATTTTTTCTCGGTCATTTTTAAGAAGAGGACTTTTTTGCTAGGTTCCTGAAGGGTTAGAGGGAAATAAAGGGAACATTTATATGGCTAGTGGCAGTCCACCAAGCGTGCTAAAGGCTTATTACCATCAATTTCAAAGCGATTTTTCAATGTTTTTGGAGTGTCGTTCACAGGAATTGGTGACAGGTGGTCGTATGGTTTTGACATTTTTGGGGAGAAGAAGCCAAGATCCTTCTAGCAAAGAGTGTTGCTATATCTGGGAGCTTTTGGCTATGGCTCTTCATGAAATGGTCTTAGAGGTACATAGAGTTACTGCTAATATTTTCAATATATCGTATTGCTCAAATCATTTTAATATAATTACTATTTTTTGTGCTGAAAATTTAATTATATAAGTTAATTATGCAGGGGCTAATTGATGAAGAGAAATTTAACTCCTTCAACATTCCTCAATATACACCATCCCCTTTTGAAGTGAAGTCTGAGATTGAAAAGGAAGGGTCTTTCACAATTGATCGCTTGGAGGTTTCTGAAGTTAATTGGGATGCCTATGACAATGAATTTAACCTCTCTGATTCATTTAAAGATGGTGGATATAATGTTGCAAGGTGCATGCGAGCCGTGGCCGAGCCCTTGCTTATCGGACATTTTGGCTTTGATAAAGCCATCATCGATGAGGTATTTCGTAGGTACCAGACAATCATCGCAGATCGCATGGCAAAAGAGAAGACGGAATTTGTCAACGTGATTGTGTCTATGACTAAGAGGGAATGACCAAGATCACATCACTTCTCCATACTTTGTCACCAATAAGCCAGTTACTAGTTAGAAATGTACCTTGTCTCTTTAATTAGTTTTTTTTTTTTTAAACTATTTGCTATTTGAAATTTACTGGCAGATTCGCACAGGCTAGTATCATGAATTTGAGACTTGTGGTTAAGAGATTAGAAACTATTGTCATCACATCTCAGGTCTCACCTCTTTGTGGTCCTTAATTAGTTATTTAGTTTTTCTTTGAATTGGAGAAAATAAATATTGAATAATTTTGATGTGTTTTAGTTAATTAATTAGTAGTGTAGTTTATGATTTTTTTCTTTTTAAACTTCGCATTTTATTTTAAGTGTAAACTATTTTTTTTTATTTTTTTTTATCTATAAGCTCAAATCTCTCTGCATATTTCCCAAACATAAAAGAATTGTCATTTTCACAGTGGTGGTGGTTGTCATATAACCAACCTCAACTAATTTATGATTAAAACTTAAATATTAAGGGAATGATGCTAATTAGATTTCATTATTAGAATACCTATGATTCCCTTCTACTTTTCAATTTGTATTCATCGAGATATATTTTAGTTAAGATATTTTTATATTTTATATAACAATAAGAAAGAGAGACAATGATGTATATAAATATAAAATTACAATTTTATTACAGGAGTTTTCTTTTGTAATTTGCATCTATACATATTATGAGCTTATTTTTGTGGATTAATCATTCCTATTAAAAATTAAAAGTTCTTGCGCAAAAGATGGGAATACATAAATTCACTGTTAAAATTTTCTAACTTTGATTATTGATATTCTGAATTTTTATAAAGGGCTTATCATACACTTAAACTTGTAAATTTTCTTAACATCACCCTCATTTTCACATTAACAACAATAGTTATTAAGATTCATTGGCTTTTGTGTGCAAAATAGTGATTTTATGTACGTAGTTAGCATAAATTTTTCGTAATAACAATTGTCATAGTTTAAAGTGTTCAGTAAGTGTTTAAATAATCTAATTTTACAAATTGAAATGTTCGATAATAAAAAAAAAAAAGTTGAGAGTGATATAAAATTAAAGTAATAAATTTGAATGGTGAATTTTGGTATCTTAGCCTGCAAAGTATAGGTATTTACTTCCAGGCCAATTTGAATCATCTTGATCTAATGATAAGCAACTCGATGTCAAATTAAGATAAGGTGACGTGAATTAAGTTTCTTCCTAATAAGCCTAATTTAATGTTAACTCATCATCAATTAAATCTTAATTTGATGGCTTGTATATAATTAAATAATAATTTTAATTATATGTTTTATTAATTATGATGTCAGCATGTAAGAACATTTTAAATTTATTGAAAACACCCTTCAAATACGACACGTGACCTTAAACGCATCTGACAACTTTGTATGTATTAATAATTTTATTATTATTTTTTAATTTTAGGAGGAAACATAATTTATAAACAACACTTGAGCAAGCATACGACACTTTTTAATATTATATTTTTTTAGTTAGAATTTTTAAATATATTATATGAATAAAATATACGTTATGAAATGATATTTATGATGTGCGAAATTTCAAGTTTGAATAGTTACTTGATAATGATTAAAATTATATTAAAATATTAGAATCTCATATAGAATAAGACTAAATGACGCCAATCAGATGCGGTTTAATTGTGGGGAGTAGGAGGCATCGAGTTTTCTATATCCCAAAATTTATCAAGTCGCAATTATAGCCTTCATTATCTGTGTTAAAAGTTGTCGATATTACAGTCAGTAGGGTCCACGTTTTAATACTATTGGTGCTACAACACTATGCCATGTCAACAAGATAGTCAAATAACAAAAAAAGTCTGAACTTTAATAATTTTTACAATTTTAGCTAATTCTTTTAATTTTGGTATGATGTCTTAAACTTATTTCTTTTTTTCGATTTTCAAAAATTATTTAATTTTTAAAGTTATTTATTTTAAAAATAAAATTTGAGCTACTATAATTTGATTTTAAATTTCAAAATTTTAAAATTTAAATTAAATGAAAATATATAATGTACTTATGTGTTATAATGTTATTTTAGTATTTGAAATTAAATTATAATTTTTTATAGTATATTAATTATTAATTAAGTGTACAATTAAATAATAAATTTTATATGATAAACTGATAGGGTGTAATTTGCGGAATCATATAAGAAAAGCTAAATTTTACATCATTAAACTGTAATTAATTATGTGCTAAATATGTATATACAAGTATTAAAAAACAACTCATGTGGCATTACCAAAATTTTTAAAAAAAAAACCGGTTAAAATTGCAAAAATGGATGGAGTTCAAGCCTTTTTATCATTTAGCTTTTTCTTTTGCTAATGTAGCCTTGTGATGTAATGTTGATATGTCAAAATGTGAATCTCACTACCGGCAACATCAGCAGCTTTGTAATTGACACAAGATGAAGACTGTAATTACAATAAAAAATAAATTCACTGACACAAATTGCTAAAATTAAATGAATTGACTAAAATTGTAAAAATAGCTAAAGTTCAGATTTTTTTTTTTTGTTCAGCCATTGAATGAAATACCAATGTACTAGGGTGTAAAGTCATTTATTTAATTAGTCTTTAACAGTGGTTAATCCAAGTCCAAGTAAACTCAAATATTTCAAGTATGCCTAATCACATGCATTTACTTATGTGATTCGAATTGGCCTCCTAGTAAGACCTAGTTTAATTATTGGATCTAATAGGGTATTAGAGTCAGACTAGCCTAATACATAAATTTAACCATGAATTTTGGTTGATCCTTCTTATGGCCCCTGGAATTTTTGAAGTTCAATCATGATTCTGTATTTTCACATTTCAGCAATAACTATTTCTCTTGCCGAAATGGAATAACTTTGTTGGGGGGTTTAGTCATAATTATGCTTTCAAATTTCATTTGAAATGTGAAAGTGTAAAGTCATGATGGATCCCTATGAGCATCTAAATTCTAAACTTCGGGTATCCAAGCTGGACCTAGAAATTCCATAAAATCGGACAAAAATCGAACAAACCAAATCCAAGGTAGAAAAAGATAGACAGTTTGCATTTATTTAGCCATAATTCTTTCCATAATGTGAATTTTGAGACAAAGTTAGTACTAATGGAAACTAGACTGAAAGAGTTTTCCAACAACATATTGCAGGTAAAAATCAGAGTTGAAATGGCTCCCCAACCAAGAGAATTAAAGCGAAACAAGATCGAAAAAGCTAGAAAATTACATTGGAGAATTGATTGGCTGCCTAGGCTAGTGGCCTTTTCACACTAATCCCACATTGCTAAGCCAAAAATTCATTCGTTCCACCTCTTTACCTATATAAACCCCCCACCAAATTTCCTTTCTACACACAATTCATGGACTTTTACCTCGAGCATTATAAGTAATCTTATTTTATAAGGTTTTTTCCTTTAAAAAAAGACTGAGTAGGAGATTTTGATCTACATAATAGAGGGAGAGAACTCTCATCAAGTTCTTTCGAGAACTCTCCGAGTCAAGGACTTGAAGCGATCTTAACAATGAAAATTGAAGCTTCGAGTTGTGAAGATTATACTTTCCTTGATCCGACGACATACACTTCACGAGGTAGACCCCTTCTCCTTTTTTTTTTTTAATGCTTTAATTAGGTTAGATGCTTAATAACATTAGAATTTTATTGTTCATACTAATTAGGTTTGATTAGATTTAATTAAATGCAAATTAGGTTTAGATGCTTTGTTTAGATTTTATTTCATGCAACATATAAATGCTTAATTAATTTAACTTAGAAATAATTAAATACATGATCACTTAGGTTTAATTAATTGCTAAGAATTTAGCAAGATGCATGAATAGGATTAAATCGAAGCCTAATTAATCTAAGATTTAATTAATTGCATGATTGACTTAGACTTAATTAAGAATTAACTTAGGTTTAATTAATGATTATTCAACTTAGGAAAATGCTTTAGCTAGGTATAACACTTATGCTCTAGAATTTTGAGAATGATTCTACAATCTCATAATCTTTGCATCTTTATTACAATTGCCTTCAATGTGAGACTCTAAGCTTTTGAATGGTCGAAACATGACTTGTATGCTTGAAATAGATGAATGTTGACTTGTATGCTTGAAATAGATGAATGTTGACTTGTATGCTTGAAATAGATGAATGTTGACTTGTATGCTTGAAATAGATGAATGTTGACTTGTATGCTTGAAATAGATGAATGTTGACTTGTATGCTTGAAATAGATGAATGTTCTCATATTCTTTTGCATCTTTATTAAAATTGCCTTCAATGTGAGACTCCCTAAGCTTTTTGAATGGTCGAACCATGACTTGTTTAATGCTTGAAATAGATTGAATGTTGAACTTGTATGCTTGAAATGAGATTGAAATGTTAAAGGATTGCTTGTTTTGCTTGGTAATTATGAAAGAAATTGCATGTTTTGCTTGAATGTTGAGGATTGCTTGTTGCCTTGTGTATTATGAAGAATTGCATGTTGCTTTGCTTGAATTGCATGTTGCTTTGCTTTATTTGCACACCGCTTCATTTCTTTTCTCCTTCTCTTCTTTGAAACCTTTAGCAACTAAAGCTAAATGATTCATTTTTACACAAATAAGGCAACTAAAGCCTTTTAAAACCTTGGCGACTAAATTCAAATGAACCATTTTCATACAAAATAAGTTACTAAAGTCTCTTTTCTCAAACTTTTGGCAATTAAAGCCAAATGACCCATTTTTAATCAAATGGCAGCTAAAGCCACTACTTCAAATTGAAAGGCGACTAAAGCCTCCTTTCCTCAAACTTGGTGACTAAAGCCGTTTTCCAATCAAATTGGTGACTAAAGTCACTTTCTCAACTGATGGCGACTAAAGTCATATTTTCAATCAAATAACATTGTTTCTTACAAATGGTAACTAGAGACAACTTGACAAAGCTCGCTTTTTCATAACTAAAAAAGTCCATTTCACAATGACAATTGCTTGATGCTGATCCTTATTCAATGGGATAAGTAGGTAGACTCGATTATTAAACTCGAGTTGCGAACCAAAAATCTACAAAACCTTTTTTCTTCCTTCCCTTTCCCTTGCTTCATTTGGATTTGCTTATTTATACGGTTGATTGGGAGATATGTGATTGTCCTAAAATCTCTATAAGGAGCTAGAGGCAATACTCCATTTTCTACTTTCTTTGTGCTTTTCTTTGCGTTATCTTCATGCTTCCTTTCTTTCTTTCTACGAATGTT